GGCTTCTTGTCATCATTGGCCTCCTCTCCCATCTTTTCTGTGTAGCCACTGTGCCTACAACACAAATATCAGATCTAATCATGAGTTAGGCCTCTTCAAAATCTTCTGATAGATTTCACCCTTTATTTTTTCACCGAATTTCTTATTACCTTCAGTCTCACCATGTTTTTGTTTACCACTAGAAAGTAGGGTTGGGCATTCTTGTTTGCTACCTATCTCTATACCCACAATAGAGCTTGATACACTGTAAGCACCTCAATAAATACAGTGAGTGAATGACTCAGGCGTTAGAGGAAAACAACTACGGACTGACAGATTTATCATCCTCATAGTTCGCTTCGACACTGTTGGTATACGGGAAGGCAACAGATGCCCACTGGCAAACGCAAGTCAACAAGAAAAGGACGTCTGAAATCCGGATGCAAAGCAGAGAACACCAGACTTGGACTCAACAATATTCGGCCTGGCCCACCAACGACTAGTAGTGTCGTTAGACAATCAACCTCTGAAGCTTTTTTCCCCAGATGCCATCTGGTGGGACTTCAACTTCCTGACATACAGTATTGTTCTGGGGATAACAAGGCCTGTGGGAACGTGAAAGAGTATTTCTGAACAGTTCTAGGTCCAGCAATTGTCGCAGACACCCCCAAATCTGCCCAGGTCCCCAAGCAGTCGACGTCTGTGTTCCTAAGCTTATCAACTTACCTGCACAGCCGCACTTACGAACTAGCAACCCCAAGAGCCTTCCAGGACCTGACCAGCACAAAACTACAAACCGCGCTGGGTCAGACGCACGCCGGAAATAAACATGGTTCCGCTCTTGCGCAGTAGGAGGAGGCGCGGCCGCGTGGAGCCCACTAGGACGTGGAGTCGTGCGGGTCTGGCCGGACGAATGCGCACGCGCGCCGCGCGGCCTTTGGGAACTGTAGTTAGGAGTTGTTAGCCAATGACGGCCTAGGTGGGCGTGACCACCATTGTTAACGGAGTCGGCGGGAGGCGTGGCGGTTACGCACCCGCGCGGGGCCCTAGCGCTTCCTAGACGCGTCGGCCGCTGGGTTTTGTCCCACCTGCAGCCTAGGAAAGGAAAGGGCCACTAGAAAGGGAGGGGGGGCGGAGGGGAAACTCACTAGCTAGTCCTACGATGGCCTGCTTGCCTGGTTCACAAGCCAGTAAGTGGAGAAATTGGCAAAGCCAGTTTGGGCAGGTGGAAAACTGTCCGTCAGAGGCCATATTGACACAGTGCTTGGCACATGGAAGCCATTCAGAAAGTTTTTTCTTTAAAGAAAGAATAAAGTCCAGTGATTCCTTCCAGTTATCTTTTAAGTCAGTCGTTACCCAACAACCTCTCTCCCACTGAGCGGGGAGTTTTGTCGGGGACTCTTTCCCTCCCTAAATCTCTCATAGTTATACAAGGTCAATCGTATACCCCGCAGCCAACAGGGTCAGCCACATCTATAATCCTCTTCTCAAGAGCCTGGTCTTTGGAGTCTTGAATTGCTTGCTCACTGTGTGACTCTGGGCAAATCACAGGCTTCATCTCTTTGAGATGTTTCTTATTTCTACAATGGGGATAATAACAGTACCCAACCTCTTAAAGTTGTAAAGTTTGGATGAAATGATGCATGTAAAGCACTAAGTACAATCCTTATGTTATAGGAAATATTTGATGTTAACTTTTAAGTTTTTATTGTATGCTTGGGGGGGGCTATAATAATATCGTCTGTTTAGTACTTTACCTGAAAGTCCTTTCAGGTTTCTTGTTTCACAGCACCCTGCATAGTTAGCTTTATTATCTCCAATTTCAGTTTGGGAAAGAGACTAAGGCAAGCCACTTTCCCAAGCATTCACAGTCAGTAGTAGAGGTAGAACTCTAAGAGTTTGAGAGTCTGTGCCCAGTTATATAATGGTTATAATAATGACAGTTATGTAGTGTTAGATGCCACGTACTCGTATGGGCTTGACAGATGTAAGTTAATTTAATCTTGCAAGAAGCCTGTGCAGTAGATACCATAATTGGCATCCCCATTTTACAGGTACTTTATTTTTTTAAACAGATAAGTACTTTTTTTTTTTTTTAATCCCAGCTCACCTGGTGAATCTAGGCTGAGAAGCATGAGATTTTCTGGTTTGCCTTTCTCCTACTGGCCTTACTTAGCACTCACTTTTCAAGCACTACTGTCCTCACCTGTCACAGTTTTCTTTGATGGTTTGCTTTAATTATTGTATTCATTCATCATGCGTTCATTAGTTGTTCAATTAACCACTGGGTTTCCACTGATCGTTTGCCATTCTTTAAAATTTTAAATCTAATCTCCAATTAGAAAATTTCTTTCTGGGGCCAAGCATGCCTGTAATCCCAATTACCCAGGAGACTGAAACAGGAGGCAGGTTCAAGTCCAGCCTGAGCAACTTCGGGAGACCCTGTCTCAAAATAAAAAGGACTGGGAATGTAGATCAGTGGTAGAGCATCCATCAATCCCCAATACTGCAAAACTGATGATGATGATGAATTTAAAATAAATTTTAGTTAATTAAATTTAAAAATTTTCTCCCTGGGTCTCATCTTTCCTCATTTCCTTGTAATCTATCTCCCTGTTCTGTTTCTTTGCCTCCACATTCTCACCCTTGAGGCAATTTCTCCCAATTTCCCAAAGGTCATCTTTATTTGGATATTGTATAACCATCTCAAGCAGAATTTAAGAGGAACCCTCTCTTCCATCCATTTTAGAGCACTCTCCATTTTGCTTCTTAAACACAGAAAAAGGGCACAACATTTAAAGCATCTGTACTTGCCTACACTCTCTTTTCTCACTTTTAGTCTTCCACCAAGCACTCCTGTCATCTACACCCCACCCCCAAATATAATACTGTTTTCGTATGTCCTTCTCACTCTCCATCTAATGCTTGATAATTTTGTTCTTGAATTAATTTAAATTCACTGGTATCCTTTTTGCTTTCAAACCTTAAATTCATGTCCTAAAAAGTTACCTTCCAGGCTAGAGATGTGGTAAGATGCTTGCCTAGAATGTTCAAGGCCCAGAATTTGATCCCCACCAGTGGGAGGAAAAATGCCTAATGTAAAAACTAATCTTCCTTTTTTCTCCTTAACAATCGCTCCTCAGGCTGGGGATGTGGCTCAAGCGGTAGCGCGCTCGGCTGGCATGTGCGGCCCTGGTTCGATCCTCAGCACCACATACCAACAAAGATGTTGTGTCCGCCAAGAACTAAACAATAAATGTTAAAAATTCTCTCTCTCTCTCCTCTCTCACTCTCTCTTTAAAAAAAACAAAACAAAACAAAACAAACAATGGCTCCTCAAATTCCTCCTCTGTTTTCATTCTCATCTACAGTCCAGACAAGACCACTTCTCTCTTCTCTTTACCCAGCTCCTCTTCTCAATTCCAAACCTCTGGTACCATCCCTCGAAGTACCCACATTCTTCTCAGAATTTACCTTAAACTCCAGAATTGACTCTGATTAAACGTTCAGAATTCCTTTTTTTCCCCATACCTAGCAATGCCTCTCATTATCCACATTCCACTGCCTTAACTTCCTCACTCCTTACATGTGAGAATGAAAGCAAATCACCTACAACACAACTTGACTTTCTGAATGTTAACCTTTGTTAAAATCCAGGGGGTTTGTCCTAAGGGATATGTTCTGGGTCCACATACTTTAGTAACATACACAGGACAGCACTCCATGGGAAGTATTCTATGTCAAATTTGATTTAACGGAAAGCTGATATTAAAAAAGTAGCAAGGAAAAAATGTAGTTTTGGGCTGGGTTTGTGGCTCAGTGTTAGAACGCTTGTCTAGCATGAGTGTGGTACTGGGTTCAATCCCAGCACCAAGTTAAAAAAAAAAAAAACTAAATAAAATAAAGGTATTGTGTCCATCGACACTAAAAAAATATTTTTTAAATGTAGTTTTTCCGTAAGACACAAGTTGGACTTATGCCTCATCCCTCTAAATCCAGAGAGGATAAATGAACTATTAAATCCTGTATGGATTTAGGGGTAATAAATTGAGGATGCAGTTTTGAAATAACACTAACTACTGTTTACTAAATGCCTATCATGTGCCAGGCACGGTTTGGGAACTTCTATGTTATCTTACTTAGCACCTTTATGAGATGACTGTTATTAGCTTAATTTGGCAAAAGAGGAAATCTGAGATGTAAAGAGGATCAGTAACTTGGCTAGTGCCTAGGGCTAAGATTCTAACTCAAGTGTCTTTGAGCCTGAGCCATACACTTGGTCCATATCTGAAGATGCAACTCAATTACTGTTTTATAAGTCTCTTCTGTATCAGGGCTCTGCGCTAGGCACTGCAGTCCTGGGATGCAGAAAGAAGTTTCCTGAGGACCTGCCTTAGAAGTTTACAGTAGAGAATTTTATGTAATGTAAGTTGTAGGTTTCTCCATTCATGAAGCACAAGTAATTTGGAGGCAGTTGGAGGCAGTTGATATGAGGTTCCTGCACGCAAAATGTCATATTTAATCTATGACGTCTTCAGAGCACTAAACTGACGCTTTGAAGCTTGGAAGTACCTGGTATAGTGCAAGTCTGGCAACCCAGTTTGCCATCCGTGAAAACCAGTACATCCTTTACCCTGTGTCAGGGTTGATGTCTGAACCGAAGTGGGAATATGCATCATGTTAAATTCGTATACGGGCACTTCCTGGCTGTCTGCATCCATCTCTCACTTCATTAGCCTTGCTATCTCCTTTCCTCCAGCCCTGCCGCCCTTACTCCATCCTTGCCCAGCTCTGTCTTTCCCCCAGGTTCTATCTCCTTGGCCATACTGCCTTGCTTCTTAACAAACTGCCTCTCGCCCATCACCAGCACCAACACCTTTCCACCCGCCCCTCTGCCCCAACTCCCTTGCATCACTCCTCCAGCCCAGTCCCTGGATGCCTGCCCCCTCCCTTCCTCCCAACCCGCCTCCTGTGTCTCCCAGCCCTGCTCTGACGTGGGAGGTGAGGGGGGGTGGGGGGATGGATGACTCACAGTGTTATGATGCAGTTCCACAACACACAGCCACATTCACCCACAGACCGAGGTACAGAACGAGAGACAACCTCTGGCCCCCCAGCAGCTGTCCAGCTTTGCAGCCCCAGTCTTGAGCCCCTCAACTACCTTCCCCCACCCCCATCCCTTTCCCAATTGAAGGAGCCGAAAGAGAAGAGAGAAGAGTGAGCAGAAAGATTGAGATTGAGAGAGAGAGAGAGAGAGATAGACGGAGATCTCTGGAGCAGACCTCAAGGTGAGGGGGCAGCCCTTCTCCAAATGAATTTTCCCCCCTTTGCAAATTTCCTCTTCCTGCTGCGTGTTGCTTTTTTCCCTTTGCAAAAGCATTATTCATCCACCCTTTGTCCTCCCTTCCCCCTCCCTGCTGCCTCCGCTCCTCTCCTCTCTCTCGGCTCCTCCATCCCTCTCCAAGCTCTGACAATTCCCGCACTTATTTTCCGGCAACTTTGGCTGCAGCATCCGACATCACTGTTTATTGTTTTGCCGCTGGTGCAGACCCCCAAAGCCCGCCCTGGGAGCTGGCTGCACTGCTAATTACTTGGACCATACCATACCGAAAATGTCAGCCCAGGGGGCCAAAATCTCAGAGCAGATGAGAACATCCATTATGAGCAGGTGTCCCCCTCCCCCGTCTCTTTTTCCCTGAGAGGCATGGGATTTGCACCTGGTTCCTCCAGCCTCCGCCTCAGTGCCTCTGCTGTCAGCTGTCAGTCCTCCCCTCTGCCAGCCCTTCTTCTCCCCCACCTCCCACAGTCCAGCCCCATCGCAAATCAGAGAATCATCCTCTTCCCAACACTCAGCTTGCCTTTATCCCACCCCCCCCATTTGCCCAACTTGCTTTCTCCCTGTGATCAGAGAGGGGAGAAGAAATGACCCCTACTCTCCCTTGCGTGATTTTCTGGCCTTCTGTGCAACCTCCCCTGGGCTGTTGGGGAAGCAGGGGTGAGGGAGGGAGGCGTGACGGATGGAGGCTGGGGAAGGAGTCTGAGAGCAGGGACCTAAGCTGGCCCCTGTTCCTCCAGCCCCTGTAGTAGTAGAGGTTTCAGGGTGGTGTGTGTCAGAGGGGAACTCAGGCAAAGTTGAAGGCAAACATGTGAAAAGGAGGCCGAATAGGAGTCTCCTAGTGAGGAGGGCCTGTTTCCTGAGGCCAGACCCAATGTCACCCTGAATTCAGCCCAAGGTGTCTTCCTGGGCCCCTGCCAAGGGGAGAGGTCCTGAAACTGAAGATGGTCTCAGTTTGAGGGGTTAGTGGAGAGACTGCCTGGCAGCCTACTGAAAGAATGGAGCAGCTGGGGCGCTTCTGGCCACTGCAGAGGACAGTACAGGGAGAGCCCGTTTGCCCTGGCAATTGGAGCCAGCACCACCTCCTCTGCTTGGTGGTCTAGCATTGCCAGAGCACCCAGCTGGCATCTCTGAACCAGAATTGGACTGAGCCATACAAAACAGCCAGCCGGGCAGATGAAGGAGAAGGCGGCACCTCAACTGCTTATCAGAACCAACAGAAGACACCTCCCTTCTTATCCCCTGCCTCCAGCATTCTCAGCCACTTTGGGACTGGAGTGTGGGCAGATACCAACATCTTCAAGATCCCTAATCAGAATCCGGCAATTATTTCATCTTCCGTCACCTAGAGTCAAAGCTGTTTGTCCCTGAACCTGGGAGAAGGGGGAATAGTTTCTGCCTTTTGCCCCAAAGCATAGCCTTTATAAATAAGGAGTTCTCCCCCACCATCTGTTGTTCATTGTGGACATTGCTCTTACACTATACCACCACACAACCCTGCACAGCCCAGGAGTCTATTTTTTTTTTTTTTGACGTGGTACCCATTTCCCATTGGTCCAGTTGTCAGATTTGCCAAAGGAAAGCTATCTTCTCTCCTACAGTGGGATGCCTTAGTCTTTAACCCAGGAATAAGGAAACAGTGAGTAAACAGTGAAGAGACGGCTGGGATGTAGCCCGGTGGTAAAGCGCTTGTCTAACATGTGGGAAGACCTGGGTTCCATAATCAGTACTAGAGGGGGAAGGGGGAGGAGCTCAGGGGATGGGGAGTCAGTTGGGTGTGCCTTCTGGGCTGGAATGAGTAGTCACAGTGCAAAACTGGGGAACAGCCACATGTGACATCTTTGGCACTAAAGGAGACATCCATAAAGTTCTAGTGGAGAGTCCTAGAGTGCAGGACCTGCCCCCAGGAGACGCCAGGTGTATGCACCCGCCTGCTGCTCCCACCACCTCATCTTGCCCCTCCCTCCCATAAGAAATGTATAATGAACCCACTGCATTGCAAATGGAGTCCACAAAAGCTCCAACTGAGTCCAAGACATAGTAACTACTAGTGCTTGTAGGGTACAGATTCTCACACAAGAAAGGAACACCAAGGACAGGGCCCTTGCAGAGGATATTGCTCCCATGGCAGCACTCATGCCAGCAGGTGACTCTCAGTGGAAAACCATAGAGGCTGCTACTGTCCCAGGAGAGAGAGACCAGCTCCCTGGCTATGGCATAAGAAGCCTGGAACTGCTGCCAGGCTTGCCAGAGCAGAATGGGGCTCCAGGGAACAGGGAGACAGTGCAACTGGACACTGAGCAGGGTTGATGACAGGGAGAAAATCATAGAGAACCGAGCCCCACCTCCTCCAGGCAGTCATAAGTGGCTCCTTATAAGGTCACAGCTCTTCTGATGCACTTTCTCCTCTTCCCAGGTGACTTCTATTTCTATCTGGTTCTCGTCTGGGGGGGCCCTGGCCGGGCAGCCCCCCACATTTCTCCTGCCCTGAAACACGGCTCTAGCCAACCTGCTCCGCTGCTTCACCTGCGACCGTCTCTGTGGGGGCTGCACAGCACCAGCCCCTCCAGCCCGCCAGGGCATCGTCCTCCAGCCTGTCATGCCCAGCTGTGACCCTGGTCCGGCCCCTGCCTGCCTTCCCACCAAGACGTTCCGCAGCTACCTGCCCCGCTGCCACCGCACTTACAGCTGTGTCCACTGTCGTGCACACCTGGCCAAACATGATGAGCTTATTTCCAAGGTATGCTAAAATGGAGGTCTGCCACTCCACCCCTCAGGACAGGTTGCCCAAACATCACCTAGGGATGAGGCAGCAAAGCTCTTGTCTCCCCACACCTCAGGGGTTCAGTCATGGGGCTGAGGCTACCCAGTGGTCACTGTCTGTCCTGTCTCCACAGTCCTTCCAGGGGAGCCATGGCCGAGCCTACCTGTTTAACTCCGTGTGAGTCTACCTCTTTCTTAGTGCGTGCGTGCTTGTGTGTGAACAATTTTCCTTTGTGGATGAAGGGGGTCAGCTGTTAGGAGATGATTGGGGATGGTTCTGGGGCTGGAACCCAGGGCCTCACGCATGCTAGGCAAGTGTTCTACCAGTGCTACACCCCTAGCCCAGAATGTGATCTTGTACCTTTGGCTTCACTTCCCCTTTTGCAAAAGCAAAAAGACTTTTTGTACAAAGCCAGTCTGCAGTTCTTTGTGGAAGAGTCCGGGCAGAACTGAAACCACAGCACTGGAGAAAGAAGGCCCAGGCACTAGTCACAATGGGGTGGATTGCTTAAGTCAGAGGCCCCAGTTTTCCAGATGGAAGTCCCTTTGGGCTGTTCGGGGGCTGGATCCTTCTTGTTTCTGAGACAGGGTCAACGTGGGTTGTGGGCCGGCAGAACAGCGCCTCCTGCTCACAGGGCTTCACTCGGTAGCAGATATTTTCTGTGAAAGTTGCAAGACCACACTGGGCTGGAAATATGTAAGTACTTGGTGAAGAGGGCCACATTCTAGACAGCCCCATGGCCTTCCAGGCCCCAGTGACCACATGTCAGGTCTCTGCATGGTCCAAGGAAATAGGGAGCTGGAAAGTGGGTTGGACTGGATCAGGGGCCTTGGGTAGGGGTAATACAGTGGTGGGGCCTGGAGGGGAACACCTTTGTCCTGTGTTCACCCACTTTGCTCTCCACAGGAACAAGCTTTTGAGACCAGCCAGAAGTACAAGGAAGGGAAGTACATCATTGAAATGTCACACATGGTGAAGGACAATGGCTGGGACTGAGGGGGCTCAGGCAGGCTATGCCCTTCCTCCGCATGCCCCACCCTCTTCACACCTGTCCCCTGGCCCTACCAAGCTGTCCATACCAGCATGAGCACTGCCCCACCCCTGGGGGAAGCCCGGCTCCAACCAACGCCTTCCTTGCCTCCACCACATCACTACCAGGTCCCCTTTGGAACAGGGGCCTGGGGTACCCCAGGGGTGTTCAAGGCTCAGGAGTGGGCAGCAGTTAGGGAAATACAGAATTGGGAAAAAAGGGATGGTTGTGGGCCCTTTTATTCCCAAGTTCCTGGAAACTGAGGTGATGGCAGGGTGTGGACTCAGGCAGAGGATCATGGGAGGAATCAGGATTTTGACCTCTCTTTTTTTGAGTGGAGAAAAGGATAAACCTTGGGTTGTGGGGCTAAGAGGTCCTAGGTCACAGAATATCAAAGAAACAGTTTAGGTTGGAATGAAATTTTGGCCTCATACACCAGGAGACTAGAGTCTCTGAGGGCAAATAGCTTCCCACTCCCATTTGCAGAGAACAGAACTCAGGGCAGGGGATGGGGATAGGGATGGGAGGAAACACCCAAGTCCCAGGCCCTGGGAAATAAAGTCACAGGGGGTTTCCATCTCACTCCACTTGTTAGTTTACCTTGGCACTAAAGAGGCACTTTTGAGTATCTAATCTTTGCCATAGGGGGGGGGTGGGGAAAGCTGCCCCTGGAACAGCCCCCACCCTCAGCTGGCCATTTCCAGAGCAAGCAGTCTTTATGGGTATTCTTCAAGGCCCAACCACTGCTCCCTGGGACCCAGTCCCCTGGAGGGGAGGTGGATCATCAGCACCACAGGACCAGTCTTCCCTGTGGTTGCCACCAGCGAAAGAAACTTTTGTATGATATATAAAGTGTTTGGGTCTATTTTTAATAAAAAGGGGAAAAGCAACTGTGAGGCCTTGTCCTCTGACTTTCCTTTGTGCATGTACTACTCACCATTCCCTTCACTATACCCAAGGGAGCCTGTCCCTTAATACCACTAGGGGGCAGCAGTTGCTTTGTCTGTGGCAATATACCCCACTTGAGCCTTTAGCAAAGTATTCAGCCTGGGTTGTTTATGAAGGGATGGGGCTTTGTAAACACCCGGCTGTCTTCTGGAGCCCTTACCAACAAGTCCACTTTTACTTATATCCAGGATTGGGTGGCTCTAAGAGGCTCATTCCAGAACAAGGGTTTTCTTGGACCCCATATTTTTTGGCCTAGTTTTATGTTTTGTTAAGTGTATGGATACATTTTAAGGCTAAAAGCAAAGTCTTTTAGCTCAGGTGTGGCACTGGCCCTTAATAGGAAATAGCACAAAATAGCTCAAACATAGTTATCAAAGCAACTGTGTAACCTAAGGGACATTTTGGGGCAATGACAATTTCAACTATTTTAGGGTGACCAGTACCTTCAGGGGAGACTGACACATAAGTCACCTTTTATAAACTACATTGTTATTTCAGATTCACTCATTCATTTGCAAATATTTATAGACCACCTCTTTGCTAGGCATGGTGTTAAGTACTGGAGAATCATGAGCAAGGCAGTCGTGGCTTGACCTCTTGGACCTTTCAGTCTAGTGCAAGGAAAACAATAACCAGATAATCACAATGGGATGCGATTAAAGGATCTAGCAGAACAGAGAAGACTCCAGAGCTTACAGGAGAGGAAAAGCCTAGACCTGAGGAGTCAAGGAAGGCTACCCAGAAGTGAGACTATGCTAGCACTTGAAAGATTAAAATTTAGGTAGGCAAAAGGCAAGACTCAGGGGAGCAGTTCAGGCAGAACCATGTGTCAGGTGGCTCAAGCTTAGTTAATTTGAGGAAACGTTTCTTGTGGCTGAAATATAGGTGCAGCTTCATGAGATAAGAAATGAAACAAGAGACAGGCAGGGTCTATAAATCATTGAGGAAGTCTAGATTACATCCCAAGGGCACTGTGGAACCATGGAAAAATTTTGCTTTTTAGTAAGAGTGAAGAGGTATCACTCTTATGCCCAGAAGGAGGCTCAAATAAAAGTTTTAACAGACTGAAGAAAGTAAGGATATAATGCTAACTGTACCATCTCAAATACTGTCAACTTCAGAATGGAGAGGCTGACCAGGCAGGAGAGAGACACCTGCAAGTATAGAGGTGAGAGAAGGGCAAAGAAAGAAGCCAGGAAAGACCCATGGCTACAATCCAGGATTGGGTGGCATACATGGGTTGTGATCTGAACAAACAGAAGCCAGGAAAGACCCATGGCTACCATCCTCATGCAGTTTCTACATGAGGAATTATGACAAGATTCTTCTCAGGCTCTTATAGAGGACTCCAACTCTCTCACAGTCCCACCTCCTGTCCTTGAAAACCAGGCACAAGCTAGCTGCCTCTGTGTGTGGTGCTGGGGATGGAACCCTGGGCCTTGCACATGATAGGCAAGAGCTCTACTATTAAGCTACACCCCCAGCCCTTTGTAAATTGCTCAATCTGATCTGGTGATCTCCTACCTCAACCCCAATTACCTAGGATTATAGGTGTGTACTACTGTACCCAGCTTAAATTGCCGCCTTCTCCCCCCATCCTATCCCAACCAGTACTGGGAATCTCGTGGCACCAGGCATGATAGGCCAACCCTCTACCACTGGGTTACCTCCCTGCCCTTTGGCTGCCTTCATAAAGCACTCCAAATATACCTCCCAATTTTCTGTAATACATTCTCATGAAGCCAGCTAGGAACCAGGGGAGACAGAGAAGTAAACAACAGTTATTCTCAAATTCCTTATAATCTCTCTTGGAAGAAATCATTCTGTGTGCTTGGCTTAAGGAATACTATTTAATCTCTAAAATCAGGTCATAAGCAATACTATCCAATCCTTGGAAGCCCAGACAGGTGTACCTTCAAGAACCATCATTATCAAATAGCCTCTGACCAAAAGGGATCATTCTGATAATTGCAATTGAAAGGAGAGGGATGAGATCTCATTTCCAAGTCCTAAGCCAGGGAGGAGCTGCAGGTATTGGATGCGAGGGGCACTAGGTCTTTTTCCCTAAAGAATGGTCCTTGTAAGTGGCACTTTTTCTTTCCTGTACATTCCCTTTTTCCTTTTTTTGGCAGGGGGTGGTGGTGTTTAGTGGGGATTGAATCCAGGAGCACTCTATCACTGAGATCTATCTTGAGACAGGGATTTACTAAATTGCTGGGGCTGGCCTTGAACTTTTGGTCCTCCAGTCTCAGGACCACTCCCCACCAGCTGCTGGGATTATAGGCATGCGCCACCACACCCAGTCCCTCTTTTTTTTTTTCTTTTTTGAGACAGGGTCTCGGTTGCTGAGGCTGGTTTGAAACTTGCCATCTTCCTGCCTCAGCCTCCCAAGTTGCAAGGATGACAGGTGCACCACTGCACCTGGCTAAGATCCTCTTTCTCACAGAGGTCTTCTCTGAGCTTCTCAGTGGTTTCCCAATCTTCTCCCCCTACTCTCTATCCCACATGGAGTCTGATAGCCTGGTCCTTACCCAAGGAGCTGTCACATTTATCCTTATACTTGACTTTGTAAGATTATCTTCCTATAAACAGCAGATGGCATCAAAACCTTCCACTCCTCAGCTCAGCAAGATCTCCCAGTAAGAGAATCTACTCAGATCCTTCCATGTAGGTCTACTAATGATGGGTGAGCTGCCCGACTTACAATTATGAAAATCCACATAACCTTCCTTGGCCAAACAGCCTACACCTCTCTGATCCTCAGTGTTTTCACCTGTCAAGTGGGGATGCTACCTGCCAAGTTAAAACAGATCACAACCCATGTATGCAGTGTCTAGCACATGCACTGCACACAGAAGTGGCTCTAAAAATGTGAACTGTTAGTACAACTAAGTGAGGCTTCCCCAATTTCCTCCAAGGTAGCTGATTGGTGCCCAGAAGGGAGAACACTAGCAATGCTGAGGAGGCAGCCGGCGTTGGATAGCACTACAAGGCCAATGCCCTTTTAACATTGCACTGCTTGTGATAGGTGCAGACAGTAGCACAATGTGAAAAGAGCTCTGGCCAGCAGCAGAGGCATGCCGGCCCTGCCTCCTCACCTCTTCTCCCAGTTCCTGGCCCACTCAGCTCACAGCACCCCCTGCTTATTTTCTCATCATCAGCACAGCTTTCTTCTCTTCCCTTCCACTGTGTTAATCCTCTATCTTCTCTCTCCACTCGTTTTGCCTTCTTCCTTTCCCAGAAGAAATTTTTTTAAGGTTTTAGGGTGGTTGGGCACAGCCCAATGAGGCAGCAGAACGGATACCTTGAGATTGACACTCAAGTTTCAAAGGAAATAACTGGTAAAAATCGCAAAAGCCTGGAGGAGACTTGTATGAGGGTGTGTTTTTCTGGATTCACATTTCTGCCAACTATTCCAGAGGGAGTTTGCTGACCAGGACCACAGAGCCCCCTACTCACTACCACTCTAAAACTCTCTTCTTTCTAGTTTAGATATAAAGGGAGTTCTAGGCCTCAAGGTGACAATCTCAGATGAACCTCAAGGACCAGAGAGTGGAGAAGTGTAGTTATAGGTCCCCTGGCGGAAGAGATAAGCTTCCATTGCTAGAGGGGGAAGCTCCACAACCTGCATCTCCTTTTGGACGTACTCAAAAGACTTTATGGATTTAGTATTAAACAAAATGCTACTAGTGATTCCCTCTCAAATTAGGATAAGCTTTCATAGGTAGTGGAACTAGAAGCTGAGTTTCCTGTCCAGTCCAGGGACTTTGATTACGGAGTCTTCAGGCTCACCCAGCCAGCCCTTTCCACCCGCTCCTAGTTTAAGGGACTTATTAAACCCAGGATAACTGAGACTAATTAAAACCCAAAGCTAGAAGATGACCTGGAAGAACACTTGTAAATCCAAAGGTTCAGAGCCAGGTGGAGCGCTAGTGTGGCATATTCTAGCTAGTGCCATGGCCATGGAAGCCAGTTATATTCTGAGCAGTGAACTCTAGGCAGGCCAAAGATGCAAAGGCTGGGGGATGAATCCTCTGTGCCCTGATCAATGAGGCCTCCCAAGCAATAAAGCAGCCTCTGAAAGACTCCCTCTCCACTCCACAGCTAGTAGGAGAAATGGATGACCCAATTCCAATTGGGACCTCTTCCTCTGGGCTTCCCCTCTAGCTTCTTCCCACCCTCTCAGGAAGCAGGAGAGCTTCTCTCAGCCTTTCCAGGCAGTTTATTCCTGTAATCTGCAAACTGTGGGGCCCTGCCCCACAGTTTGCACAGTTCCAATGGACGGAAACCAAGGCCCGCTGGGGTCAGTCGCCAGGCCTCTGTGCTCCTGGGACTGGGCAAGCCAGCTGGGAACTGGACCAGGCCAACAGGGGGCAGAGGACAGGGCTGCCCAGCAAGCTTAGGAAGAAGCTAAGGGAATATTCTTCCCAAAGGAGTTCCTAGATCTCTGCTTATGGTATGAAGGAAGAGGGGATTGGGACCAAGAGCCCCTCAGCTCTCACACTCAACTCATTCCTGAGGAGCGGGCCCAGCGATTCACCAGCTAGTAGGGCCCCTCCCCCACCTTGGGCCCAGGAGCCATCCCCCAGCTCCTTCCAGAAGCGGGTGTAGAGACAGAGGAGGAAATGGGGGAGGGGAGGCCCTGGCTCAAGTTCTCTCCGCTCCCCCTCCTCATTGGCCACCATCTTCCGGCCCCTGCCCCCCAGAGCAGCAGGGGATGGGGCCCAGCCTGTGGAAGGGAGAGAAAGGGCAGGTGGGGGGTTAGCTGGAGCAGCAGGGGCAGGGGGCTGGCTCCAACTGTCTCCTCCCCCCACTCCCCGCAGCCATGGCGACGGGAGGAGGAGACCAGGAGGGTCCTGAAAGCCATGTTCTGTGAATGGGATGCGAGGGGCAGCTGGGAAGTGTGGGGTGAGGGGCGCTCTCCCGCAACACCCAACTGTGCCCCTGG